GGCCCGGGTAACAACCTTGGTCTTCTTGCCTCCAAGAGCAGCCCGACTGCTATTCGTGGTCAATTCTATGGTGTCGCCGCCGCTATCGGCAAACTCGGTGCCTTTGTTGGAACATGGGGTTAGTAACTATCGCTCATGACTTGTAAGTGCCGGCTAATGAATATACCAAAAGCGTTCCCTGCCATGACTACTGGTCAGTCTTCATCTTCATGTGGACGGCGTTCGTTCTGACCTGCTTTAGCCTTTTCTAAGCGTGGTGTATACGCTGGTGCTACTGGACCTTTCTGGGTTGGTAGCGGACTCGCCATCTTCAGCGCCTTGATCACCTACTTCTTTATCAAACCTCTCGACCATGACGGCATGAATGCGGAGGAAGTTGCTGTGCGTCCATTTTGGGTGTTCGGCGTCTCCTACACTGCTGACTAAACTAGTTCCGTGAATACCTTGAAGCTAATGGCTTCGACACTAGCCTCATGGGGAACGGCGAGGAACCTCTCGAGACCGACTCGGTCCCAGCTATTGATGAGAAGGAGGAGAAGGTCCCTGTATGAGTTGTTTTCGTCTAACGAGTTTGATCTCACGTATTATGCCCTTCGAATGTTGTCAATTAGTCTACGAGTAACGACTGCATGTGCCTCGCTATTCGAGTCCAGAGATCCTCTTGAGTCGTTCATGTGTATCAATCATTGTACTTTCAGAGGTGTGGACCGGAGAGTTTGCACGTGACATTTAGCATCCTATTCATGCGACGACACCATGCACTCATAATTATCTCCCTCTTCACAACCTCGTATAGCTTTTTCTACTTCCTATCCCGAACGCGCCATGAATTAGTCGTCAAATCTCCCTCAGCGGCCCCCAAGGGATGGCATATCTTCGAACCGCCGACTAGCCTTATCGCGCGTCCTTCTGTGGCCGAGCGAACGCTCTCCCAGACCTTGCCTTGCATTGACTCATGGGTGGCCCACGGCATGCAATGCAACCATACCACCGAGGAGAACGCCGGCGTGGATATCCTGTGGACGTGGGTCAACAGCTCAGAGCCGCTCCTGGCAGCCACCCGGCAGCGCAGCGTGGAGACGGGTCTCGCGAAGCACCGCGACGGTCCTGTATACGGATCGAAGAAGGGAGATTTCTTGGGAGCGAGGGAGTCGCATTTCCGGTCGCACGGAGAGTTGCGCCATTCGATGCGGTCGGTCCTCACCTCGCTGGACCGCGGGTCGGTGCGAAACGTATGTGTCTGTCTGCCCACCCCGTCTGTGTGGCTTCGCAGGGCTCACGATTGGTAAAGCTGCATCTGTTGACCGCGGATATCCCGTCGGATATCGCGGGGCTGCGGCTCGGCTCTACGCCAGACTGGCTCGATCTCAGCGCGGGGGTGCGCGTGGTCCATCACTCGGAAGTGTTTCGTGTTCCCGAATCCTCGCTTGGGATCTGGGGCAAAGAGCGGATGGCCCGTGCATGGCGCGACGAGCATGTCCCGTCGTTCAACAGTCTGGCTATCGAAAGTCAATTCGGGAATATGCCGAACTTGGGGAAAACGCTCTTCTGTGCGTCCTTCGCTCGCAGTCTGCGCGGCTTCTGACATTGACCTAGATCTCAACGACGACTGCTTCTTGCTGAAACCTATCAGTCTGGCAGACTTCGAGACTGCGCTTTACGGGCCTGTCTTTCGCATCCACTTCGGACTGAAAGTGGAAAGCCACGATCCGAGTAAACGATGGAAAGGGGGCGATAAAGAGGGGGAGTGGCCTGCGCTGGAATACAGTGAGTGGTTCCAATGTCTCGATACATCAGCTGACGAGGCAGCAAGCTAATTGGCTTTTGGGTCCGTTGCGAGTCAATTCTCCGCCGGATGAGGTTGAACACTGAACAGACCAGCGCTTTGGCGCCCGGCCTCGCCGCTACTTGCACCATATCGGCAAGACCGTATCGGTACCCGTCATGCGCGAGGTTGGTGCGATCTGGGCGGATGAACTTGCCAAGGTGTGTGTGTTGGACATCACTATCTCGTTGTATCACAGTGGAACAGACCGCCCAGTCTCGGTTTCGAGGTCATGGGCTGCAAGTAAACATGCTCTATCTGACGACGTGGTATAACATTGAAAAGCATCGAGAAAGTCTGTGCGTGAGGAGCTCTCTTGTTCGATTGCAACCGCTCATTGTTCCTGCAGGCTTTTCTCGCTCATAATCCTTCGTGCCGATGCCAATCGTGACGGGGCGTTTTCTCGCTTGGAATGGTCGAACTTCGTTGCTACTCTGCAACCGAATGGACTCGTTCCTGTCCGTTCAAGACGCAACATCTCTCTGACTCCCCGAGAGACAAGTTACGATTGGCTCTCCTCAGATGGTTATCCCCTGCTGCCTTCAGGCACTTGCACCATCGACATTGCACAATGTTTCCCTCCGAGTCTGAGTCCGTTGGAGATCTTCCAGCGCATTGCATTCGAGATTCCTACGTGCGGGGACTGCGTAATTGCAACAATGGTGGACGTCAGGAAATTGGAGGCCTTTCTGCCACCGAACTCAGTTGGAGATGGCCTATCGACGTTTTCTCCCATTATGGCCAAAAGCTGGCAGCATTTACGGCCGCCGAAAGATGTCGGCAGAGCGTTCGCGGTCGAGAACATGTATGTATTGAACACTCTTAGATGTGTGACATCGCTGACTGCGGCTAGCCATCGTTACTCATACGCTCTAGGAACATCGCCGTTCGAATTCATCTCGATCAGCAACCACAAAGATGTAAACAAGCTTCCTCTACAGAACAGTTCCACTGCCTTCTTGGCCGTCAACGATGATGTTGTGGCTCCGTTTTATCTGGAACAGGTTGATCAACGGATGCAGGCTTGGTTCGCCGCGAGATGGGGTGCTGTTCGCGGTTGGTGGGAAAAGGCTGGGGTTTGATGGTTGCTTGGAATCTGTGCATTTGACGCTTTGGGTTCGCCAGTATATCAGACCTACTTGGGGCTATGGAATACCACAAAGAGCGCCAGGTCGTGCCAGCGCGCTTTATGAAACTGGTGCCGTCATATCGCGGTTGCCGCCAGACACGATTCGTGAGATTGATCAAATTGGCAAACTTCCAGCGCCCACTGGGCGCTGAATTTGAATGGGTAGGGCGGTCTACGATCACGTCGAGCCATCGTTCCTTTCTAGTATCTGATTGACTCTGAGTTGTGCAATGTCCAGTTTTTGCGGTTGAGCCCAGATTTTCAGCTACTCGAGCACCGGGATGGACGGGTTTCGTAGTTTTCCTTTTGCAGTGGTTTGTAGGCAGTGCGGCAGCTTGGTCTGATGGCAGCACTGGATCCGGGTAGCTCCGAGCCTCCGACGCGGCGCACTCCTGAAATGATGATTTATAATAGAGCGACCGGCATACTCTTCTTTCTGAGATCTTGATGTATATAAATAACACTTTCTTTCTTGTCCTTGTTTCTCCCGTCGGCTCTTCTGCTCTCTCCCCTCAGTCGTTTCCGAAAGCTGTCACCGGCTGATCAGGGCCTCCCCTTTCGCTTACAACAATCCGGTTATTTTAAAACCCACACCACCTGTCTTTCTCCCTCATGCCGTCCACGACCTCCCTCGCTCTGATTTCCCTGCTCGCGACGAGCGCCGCCGCTCAGACGAAGTACACGCTCATGAAAGAGTATGCCGGGTCGACATTTTTCAATGACTGGGACTTTTACGGCCACTGTGAGCCTTGCACTCCGTTCAACGCGGGCTATTGTTCACTTCCCGCAAGTCGACAACCTGACGAACGGCGACACGATCTTCGTCGACGCTGCGACTGCGACATCCTCTAAGCTGGCGTACGTCGATCCCTCGTCCAACCACGCGATTATCAAGGTGGACAACACCACCAACGTTCTGTTCAACGACAAGCGCAACACTGTTCGTATCCAATCGAAGGACTCGTTTAGTGTCGGGAGTGTTTGGATCGCTGATATGTATCATGTCCCCTTCGGTGTGCGTTCGCTCGGTGTCCCCCCGATGAAGACTGACGCTGGCTAGTGCTCCGTCTGGCCTGCGTTCTGGTCTCAAGCGCCCGACTGGCCTGTTGGAGGGTACAGATGTCACCCGGCTGATTTGACTGCATGCTAATTGTCTCTAGTGAAATCGACACATTCGAGCACTGGAATATGGAGCTGCACAACCAAATGACGCTGCACACTAACCCCGGCTGCACGCAAGTCAACGCGATCCAGTCTTCGACCATCGTCAACTCGACTGACTGCTCGTACCTGGCGAACTCGAACTCTGGGTGTGGTGTCATGGACCCCAACGATGCTAGTTACGGAGCGGCCTTCGCTGCTGCGCAGGGCGGTGTATTTGTCACCGAGTTTGCGGAATCAGGAATCTCGTGAGTGGTGGAGCTGTGTGTGCGTCCGTATCCGTTGCTCGGCTAACCTAGCACCGCTAGTGTCTGGTTCTTCCAGCGGAGTGCGATTCCAACGTCCATCTCCAGCAACGCGTCGTCCTTCTCGACCGCTGATCTCGGGAAACCCGTGGCCAACTGGCCAACCGGCGGATGCTCCATCGACACGTTCTTCAAGCCCCAGCATCTGATCTTTGACATCACGCTGTGCGGTGGTGCGTCCACATCCTTGTCCCGGGTCCCTGTGTTCACCATGCCAACCAGATGCGGCTGGAGCCCCGGCAGTGTTCAACGCCACCTGCTCCGGGGTGTGCTACACTGACTACGTGGTCGGAAACGGGTCGGTTTACAACAACGCGTACTTTGATGTCGCATCTGTGCGTGTCTACAGCGCCCCCACGAACAACTCCAACGGCACGACCGTTATCACTGGGTCGGGAAGCGGGAACAGTGCTGCTGTCTCCGCCAGTGTTGCATCGTGGGTTTGGAGCGCTGTTGCGATTGCTGGAACGCTCGCTTTGGCCATTGTGGCATAGACTCTCAGTGACCCAGACTATCTCATACCCATATTTGCGATCTACGAAGGACTTCCTCCCCAAAATGTTGATTGGACTAATAGACACTACACCGGACCAGGTTTTCCTTCCTGTCCTTCATCCGGCAGCGGATCCATTGTGATGGTCACGACTCGGTCCATGAACAATTCTAGCGGCTGATCAGGCAACGGTCTTGGCTGTACATAGCTTGTAGTCGAGAACGCAGTGCTCCTGGTCGCCTCTGCGAAGGATGCCGTAGAGGACCATACTGTCGGACGCTCTAAGCCTCGAAGTGCTGAGCAGCAAATGAACACACCGGTGGCAAAGACAGTCGAGATGATTTCAACGTAACAGTTGACCAGGTTGAGACAGGAGCCGAGGACCACGTTGCCGCTGTATATGGCGGCAATTTCGATCACGCTGATAATTACTGTAGTGCGTGTGTGAACACTCGGTTGAAAAGTCCCGGACGGGGAGGTGACGGACTCGGGAATACAAAATTTGTGCTGGCAATCCAAAACAGGTTTTCCAAATGTCCGGAGTAGGTTTCTGCGGTCTCGCTAGTGAGCGAGAAAAAAGGAGCACCAGTGAAAACGACTGACGCTTATGGGCAAGCCTGCCGATCGCTTGGCCGTTGAATACGTGTCCGGTCCGGGCGAGTCGCCAGAGGAATAGCCCTGAGATGTATCTGGACACTTGAAGTTTGAAAAAATCTGGCCGTTTAATTGAAGGGCAGCGCACGCATTATCAAAAAGTTCCAGGATAGCCCCCAATTTGAAATACAACGGGTTGAGCTGTTTTATGACCTCCAGCTCATTTACCGTCGTAGGATGGAATAGACCCTTTGCCCAGCCGACGATGAAGAGGATGTTGACGACGCTTCGCGCGATCTTGATAAGTACTGGAAACGCCAGCACAAACGGAAGCTTCGCGCGGGGGAATACTGCCCAGATTCGGACAAGGAGGACGGATTCGGCGATCCAGGGGAGCCACGCGTCCAGAATTACGTATACGAGGTCTAACTGTAAGCTGATGGCTCGGGGGCGACGACACAAGCACACCTTCGCCTTTGGTGTTTGCGCGGAATGGTGAGAGAACGCTTTCCATCTGAGCGGTAACGTGAGCGGCATCCGCTAGACATCGGATTACCGACCGCAAGATGGGTGATCAGTGCACCGAGAGTCAAGCCAAAGCAGATCGCCGCTGTGTTGAGAATGAAGATGGGTCCCCGGCGGACCTGGGGAGTGGAAAGCGTGAAGAGCATGATGAGAAGAGGCACGAGCATGGCTGAGAAAATGGCAGGTATCAGAATAAAGGCGAAAGCGGGCCGGATGCCCTGCGCGTAAGCCTCGATTATGGGTTCGATGGCTGACGGCGGGAGGGAACCTGAATCCATGGCAGACGAAGAAGAGAGGTATTCTGGGTTGATGTCGAGCTTCGGCCGGACTTTGAGCTTTATGTACTCACGGGCGATTCAGGTTGCCGCTCAGAACCTTCGTAAATGAGTGGAGTACCATGAGAAACATCAGTCGGGCAAGACGAGAGAATTGCCATCCACATAAGATGACGGCCCGTCATCAACCACAAAGATGGAGAGACTTCCAGGGTAAACGAGACCTCAGCTCGATCTGTCGTTCCCAGATTCCAGATGGAATGAAGCACTGTGGGATAAACTGATGTCAGGTGAGCAATGGTTGAAATGGTGAGGGTCCACAAGCCACATGAATTTGCGAACAAAGATCGGCAGGGCATCTTGTTGTGCGCAGCCGCAAGTTCATTGTGGATTTGGTCTTGTGTAGTTGAGTGACATACTTGATAGGCGTCACCCGACCAAGTCCCATCTTATTACTTAGGTCCGCTCAATTCTTGGTTCATGAACCGGGTTCACGAGGTTTTGATGAACCCGACAGCTCCTGACAGTTGCCATCACGCTTAACTAAAATCGGCCGATGGCCAGCAGAGATGTCTCCGTTTAAGGACAAACATGTACGGTCTTACAGCATTGGACCAAAATGATACTCGAGAGCAAGCCTAGACGTTACTTCAACTTACTTGACTCCCTGGCTGTATGAGCTTGTATTTTTTCCCAAGTAGTGATTCATTCCAATTGTGGTAGGTAGTTGAAAGAAATCCATACATATACTGAAAATGGACCCTCAAGTATCCTCAGTTATTCTCCCTGTCCTTTCTTGACATGATAGGTCTTATTCTATACGAGCGTTATGGGCTGTGTCTTCGTCACAGGGACCCAGAATGGATGAATCAGGGGTGTGGCTACGAGGCGCCTGAATGCAGTGAATATGGCATTAGTGTTGCCGCAGTTCATGGAAGCGATATAAGACAAGCTCTCCCTGTTAGGGATCCGCGACCTAGTGCCCATTAGTCTGGAAGCAGAATGAAAAAAAAATTGAGGTGAGGCTGCGCTTCCATCGTGCTGGTGGAACGGGTAGCAAGCATGCTGCATCAGGTGTAAACAAAAATGAGCAGCCCCACTTGATCAAAACTGCCCAATCATTTGAAATCTGCTGTAATCAGTCCTGAAGACAAGAGCCTATGAGTGCGATCGCTAGCTGTGGTCGAATTGATTTCAGTCCGTTCACATGAAGCAGAGATGAATGCGTGATATTAGGTTTTCGCTTGCACTGTATACTACGTGTGTGTATAAATAATTATAGTAACCTACATGTAAGGCATCAACGCCTGGGGCAGGATCTGGTTGACGGAGGCACCGCTCGGCGGCTCGATGGACGTGAAGTACTGCAAAACCGTCAGCCCGCACTGGAGCTCGAGGCATCACCACACTCACGTTGGCCCACCACGGGCCGGCTGCCCACCAGGAAGCACCGATCCAGACGCCCGACTGCTGCATGGCACACATCGCGCCTTTGACAGCCGCTGTGCCGGTGGTCAGTCCAAGCACCCTCAGCTGCCCACGCATAACTGAAAGAACGCACAGATGCAGTCCGCGTTGTTTCCGGCACCGATCTCACCGAGGAAGCCCTTGAGGTTGTTGGCTTTGAGCCAGCTGGTGGCGGCCTGCAACCGCTCTGCGCCGATCGTCGGGGACACACAGGTCGGGTTGGTACCTGAGCCATCGCTGTCGAGGTACTGGTGCATCTGGATGGCGACGTTGTGGTTGGGATCAGTGATGTTTCCGAAAACGGCTGAGTTGCCAGAAGAGATCCACGCTGGACAACATCAGCAAGTAGCAGCATGGTTACCGGGACTCGACTCACTCCAGCCGCCGGTCCAAGCTGGAGATAAGTCAGCGATGCAATCGAAATAACAATAACCCGATGAAGCTCACCAGTTCCCTCCACGAGAATGAGTTGGGAGGTCGCTGGCCATCGATCAGGATCATTTCATCTCTCTGCGAAGTGACTGGACCCACCTCCACTGGAACGGATACCGTAGATCGCAGCCTGGTTGAGCGCGAACGCAGTCGATGCCGGGATCCCGTTGGGCTCGTTCATCACATCGAAGATAACGTTGGGGTTGGATTTGAAGACGGTGGCCAAGTTCTTCCAGACTGCGAAGACGGCTTGTTAGTTAAAGCGACTTCCCACAGAAAGACCGAGACTCGCATTGCTGGAACCTGGAATGACCCGATGAGCGGAAGCGGAGACGCTAAGCAAGCGGACGACTCACTGCGTGGTGTCCGTAATGGCTTGGTTGTTGTACAACATATAGTTGTGCGCTACCGCAAAGTCAATTTTCAGTCGAGCATCGAAACGCTTCCGCGCTCACGGTCCAAAGCCACATGGGCACCCTTTCCGGTGATGTAAGTCACGGACTTCGGGCACCAGTCAGAATTCAGAAGTATTCCGGAGGTTGTGATCGACCGACCGACTGAATACGACCCAGATAAGTCTGGTCAAAGGGACCCGTAAGACCTCCCGCAGGCGGGACAAGACGTTCGAGCATGAACGGCATCCGGAAGAAATTGAAGCCCTTGTTCACGAAGTAATCGATCGAGCTAACCGATTCTCAATCCGATGCAGAATCAATCGCCTATGAGACTGAACGCACCTGGGAGCGGGGAAGATGTAGTCAGTCCCGTAGACACCAGGCCACTTTCCACTTCCAAATTCAGCGCCGGACTGATTGACGCCAAAGAACTGCAGATGCATTAGCAGGGATCAGCAAACACACGATCTCGGCTCACTTTGAACTTGGTAGCACCTGAGCACCCCGAACTCGCCGGTGCGGACGCTGTGCTGGTAGGTGTCGTCGGCGAGGTGACCACCGCAGACGTTGTCGACGAGGGTGGCGGGGCAGTTCCCGGCAGACACTGCGAGTAGTCTAGACAGCCGTGATCAGTTAGCGCCGGCTACAAACATCCACGGGAGGAAGCGCACAAGAATTGTTGGCGGTGCACACCGACCCTGCATCGCAGACTGTGGATCCAGTGTAACCAATGCCCTAGATAGTCGATCAGAGCGCCTTCAGCAGCGCGCACCAAGGCGGACTCACACCGCATTGCCCATAGACGGCCACCGATGCAGCAGGGGAGATCACAACAGCCAAAGACGCAAGTGCCAAGAGATACTTCATTGCAGTGAGAAGGCGGGAGGGAGCTGCTTGAGATTTCCAGTCTGCGCATCCGCTCTCTTAAAGACCTGAGCGCAATAAAATCCGAGGATCGACCCTGACTCGGTCTCGAAGGCCAGCGAGACCATTATCGAGGCGGAAACGTGACCCGACAATTATCCACCATCCCTGCCGACCCTGCACGAGCCGGCGAGATAGTCCACCGCCATCCTAGCAACTGATCAAATAACAAAACGGCACTGACATTCGCCGGGAAAACACGCGATAACCGTCCACATCCTTCAAGATCCTCGACCTGCATCGTTTTGGAATAGGCCTCGAATTAGACAGTCTGCCATAGACTCGAGGATAAGAGGCAATGATGCGTCCATCAGTGCTTGATTTCCTTCCAAGTCCCATGACAAGCACGTGAGTGCATGTGCCCAGATCCACAGTACTTCGGATTTATAGACCCCGAATGGCGGAATTAGCACCGAGGAACTTCCTCACACAGCGTGCGAGACGATAGCTGTGCTAATTTTGTCCAGCTGAATGGTTCGCGTGCTTCATACTGCGCATACATGAGAGGCCGGACATCTTGCCGCTCTCTGCAGCGCCGAGTATTCATCGGTAACCACTCTGTCGTCTCGTCATCGTTCACGCATGTATTCAGTCGGTTAGATGCAGCGAGCATAACATGAGTGAATGGGAGTTGGGGAAGGACAGCTGGGCTGATGCGGCACAGGCCTAAGAGTGAATTCTTGTCGGAGATGTATTCGGCTTGGTAGAAAGTTGAGGCGGAGGTCAGCCTAGATGTAAAAATTGGATCAACCGTGCAGCTAGATTGTTGACATGAGTCAGGTCAGGTCAGGTCTCGCGTGACTCAGTGGCGGAGCTAGCTCGTAATTGGCACATCCGTGGGAACATCAGCATTCCGGCTCGGTATGAAAGACGGGCGCGACATCAGAAAGAACATGAGCTGAAAACAAAATGGGCTCGTGAATGTTAGCCCATGTACCATTAGGGTGTTTCACGACACTGTTTTGTGTCATTTTTACCATCTCTTTGTTTTTGATCCATCAAAAAAAGACTCCCATAAACATATTGCCTTTTTTGTACCCATTGCAAAAATGTCTCTGGCGTAGCGTTGTTGGCAGATCATTTCTGCTGAGATGGCATTACCTGGCAATTGCCAGCAGGGGTCTCAGAGGGCATGGCAGAACTCGGCCAAAATCATATCAGTTGGATCACCTGTAGATTAGAATTTGATATCTTCCATCTTTCCTTCTTTCCTCATTATTCCGAAGAAAAATCATGGCTGGAGGAAGACGTCTGCCTGAGAAGATCTGTTGATCAAATATCATCTGTCAAGATGGATGTTGTGATACACATCTATGACTCCATCACATGTCATCTAGAGTCATATCGACTCGTACCAAATAGACACAAACAGCCCCCTGTATCATATATAAGGAGGGCTCTATTACCCTTTAATACAAGTCTCTTGACTACTCCTGCATAGCGCCCACACTAAGCTCTCACTCACACAGGTGAGCTGCTAGATGCTCTCCCCAGTGCTCAACAGATTATGGGCCCCGAGAGCTAAGGTCACCTCAGTTACCACCGCCATCACCCGGTTGCACCCCCGCGGGGGTCCTCCTGGGTACCCTCAGACGTAGCTCTGAGGGTACCTAAAAGGTACCCCCCTGCGGGGCCCGCGGGGGGATTTGGTCCATTTGGGGGCGGGGGCATATGCGGGGGTCAGCAGGGGGGGTGAACGAAAATATATACATGTGACTTGTCTACATCTGTAAGAGCGGGTAGCTGGGCGGGAAAAAAAAATCAATCACGTGGAAGCACCGAGCGGGCGGGATGGCGGGCGAAAAAAGCACGTGACAGATGGAACCAAAAATTTTAAAACGCTGGCGGGGGCTGGCGGGGGTGCGGGCGGGGTCATTACCGACCTCCCGCATGCCACGGCGGGTGGTGGGCGCATATTCACGTGACTTCATCCCGGCCATTTTGCCACCATTTGGTCGGGTTTTTGCATGCTCTCCACGATGGCGCACAATGCAGCGGATGGCGGCCAAAACGGTCACGTGACTGGGCGCAAAAAAAAACCAAATGGCTGCCGGAAAAAATTCCGATGCTATCCCAATTGTGTCTAGCTTCGATAATTAAGAAAGTGAAGCGCTGAGCGCAAAATGCCCGCCGCACTGCGGTAATGATGGGAATGTTCCCATCATTTTGCGGGGTCACCCGTGCGGTTGATCAGTTCCATGTTTAACCACCACTCATGCTACGGTGATGCCGCCTTCTTTGACAAATCACTCATGTATTTTCTCATGAAGG